GAGAGGAAACATCATGAGCGATAGTTCGTGAATAATGGATTTGCAGTCATTCGCGGAGGAAACAACGCCCACACTACCGATGTGATTGCGGGAACAAAGATTTTATTCCTCCTAGAATGCCTCAGACCCGAAGAAGTTTCGGAGCCCTCCGCACGCGTGCGGTATGTGTGCGTGTGTGTATGTGTGTGTGTGTGTAATTTTCGGCCCGTACTGGGACCAAGATCTACTGAATGCTAGGATGTACTGCAAAATTTCAATAAAGAATAATAGATCAGGTGGCCTCGAAAATATCACACATTGTCTTTTGAGGAGAGTGCAAGACCGAGAGATAGCAATGAGGAAAGGAAAATATACAACCACCTCAATCGATCGAAACAACAAACACAAAAAGGTGAAACGAAATGAATGACAAATGAGGAATGCAACCAAAATGGACCGGTTACCTTTATCGTTGCACATGAGTGAACATGTGGTCCATTCCTTGAAGTATTTCAGCGAACCTATATTTCTCAATGCACTGATATCCTGAGAGGTCCAGTCGCGTGGTTTATATGTTCTTCCCTTTTCTCTTTTAATTGGACGATGCATATACACATAGATGGAAACGATCAAACGACGTGAGGCAGAATTCGCTCGTGTTCGTCGTGAATTGGATGAGTTGCGTGAGGCACATGATGAGACTGTGAACAATTTGCGACGACGTCATCAGACTACTGTGACGGAAATGAGTTCGGAGATTGAAGGGTTGCAACGAGCCAAGGCCAAGTAAGTTTACGTCCCTTCGCACACACACACACCAACGCTTGGTATAACAATGAGCCTCGAAATGCACACTCAACCGTGACCATCTGGGAAAAGGTTATCAGAAACAGCTCCTAAAGATAGACATACAGATAAAGACAGAGGTAAATCGCTTAGTTCACAGTATGCGTTCCATCACATGAGTTATAAAACCACACGGGCAACTCTAAGCATTTCACATTCAAATCACTGTTTCAAATTGCACTTTTTCTCCGAAGGTGACCTGATAAGGAATCGAACCTAAGCCTGAAAACGGAAAGCAAATGTACTGCCCACTTAGCCACGAAGATGCTGTTTATACTGTGATAAAGTTTGTATCACAGTCACACTGCAGATACCGTTCATGCGTCATTACCTTGAGGTTACCCGATTGAGTAGTTGATGACATCTGACAGTCTACCACACACATATCTGGAATTCCAATTTTTCTCTTCCATTTTGCCTCTTGGTTTACTAGTTTAGTCTCTTAAACCAAGCCATGGTCTCAGGGATGGGGAAAACAAGTCAGTCCTCAAGTGTGTGGGACTAATTTCATACGGTAAATCTACACCTTGAAGTCTCAACTTCAAATGAGTTTACGCATGTGTTCTCAATGTTTGAAGTACAGAACGCACGCAACATTCTGCAGGCACGCACGCACGGACGCACATATACTGACGCGTTTGGCGTTCTACCAATGAAATACACATACACACATTCACAGATACGCAGAAACAAATTTTAAGCCCAAGAAAGACGACGTAAATTATCAACGAGTTCCTCATTAAAGATCGGTCGCTTGTCTGAAAATAAGTTAAACTAATGCACTGGGTCAGCAGTAGTTCCCTGTCTATTATCTATTCATTAGTGTATTTTATCCCTGACGGCAAACTATAACCATGACTACGAATCAAGGATTGAATGTACCGGTATGAGTATTCCCCGTTTTTCGCCATACCGACAGCTGTTTGTGCATGGTTGTGTGTATACTAACGGACAGAAAATCAGCAAAGCGGACATAGTACCAAAGGGATGGTGGATAGTATCAGTTGCGTGATGAGTCTGCTTTTCTCCACGTACCGTCCGTCCGCCCAGTCCATCTTGTTCCATCTTCGGCGGTTATTTGCGGGTGCACGGAATCCCCCGTGACTCCAAACGATAAATCAGGATACGAAGTCACGACAGACGGAGTGAGGTCGCAGGTGGACAGTTACGGGGCCAGTGGCAGCTGGATGGTTGATGAAAAATCGGACGTAAACAGAAGTAAAAAAAGCAATAGATGGGATTTAATCAAGTTAAAAAAGGGAGGGAACTCGTGCGCAAGCGTGTGCATTCCGATTTGACTGACATTCACGATTCCGTGCGAAACACGCGGATTTCGCCCTTGATGTTTTGTTTGGGTTAGGATGTGAGAAGGATATTGGGATGGGAGAAACGGCCGATAAGTTCTTCGCAAATTTCAAAGTAAGACCTTCACTCAATGAAGTTTGAGGGTAATTTCATCGTTTCGAAGACGGCTGATGTTGATGTTTTGTAACACTGGTAAATTGTTTTAAGTGATAAAACAGTTATGTCTTTTCTCACTTTCCTTTTCAATACTTTTCATCCCACGCAACTATGAAGATCCGAAAAAGAACGCACCGAAATGACGCGACAGTTGGAATTGGCATTCACGGAAACAGAGGAGGCCAATAAACAGAAGGTACGTGAATCGGACGATGATTGTTCTTGTTGGTTATTCTAGTGGTGTTCATGATAGTGGTAAGGGCGACGACGACGATGACAGTATCGAAATTTCATCACATGCATTGCAATTATAATTAATTAATTAACTAAATAATTAGTAATTATAATTAATAAATACGTTCGCTTACAAATAAAAGGTATCCAAAACACTCCGGCAGAAATAAAACTCATAGATTTTGATATAGAATCATTTGGTTTCTTTCTATTTTGTCTTTTCTGGGCAATACAATACAGTTTTCTGAATACTGTTTTGTGTATCGCATTTCAATGAATAAAATCAGCCACCGATAATTTGAGCCCAGGAGTAGCATGAAGAAAGCGGATGGGGGTAAAGTTCGCATTAAATTAGAATGTTTCAAAATGGTAATGATAAACATTGATTTGGAATAATAGCCTGGGAATTCTGTGATTGAAGTTAGCAAGAATAAAAGAGAGAGTGATGTTACTTTGTTTCGTAACCCAGCTCTATTTAAAAAAAATTGGGATTTAGGTGTTGCTATTTCCGAATATTTTGGAGTCCCGGTAGGAGAACGCTAGCAGTACGCTCCGGTGACGAGACCCAAAAAGGATGAAACAGCTGTTGAGGGCTCTTTATGCATGGAATTCAGAGACATTTTGATCCAGATTTGTTGATCTCGTGCAATATTGTTTGAGAGTAGGGTGATGCAACCATAATCTATGAATAGAGACAAGAAGAGATAGAGACATAAAACAGAATTCATATCGATCGGAGCAAGTTGATTGTTCGGTGGTAACGCCAAAGGTTGGAGAGTGAGTTATTGATCAGATATTATTATGAAAAGCGGATCCACACCTGAGGTCAGTCAAGGATAAATTGATCTATTTTAAAGGTTTCTGTATTAACTCTTGCATTCAGGCTTAGAAGCTGAACATCAAAGTATAATAGTCTGTTGAAGCGGTACGTAAAATAATCAAACTTTTAAACGCAAGTAAATCCAAATTTTCGTTCACGTTACGAGAATCGCACTACGCAAAGGTGAACAAGCATGTCTCATTCAGATAGAAACAGCAAATATCAATGGAAATCCAAAAGAATCCATGATGAATTCTTCGTTTAACAGTTTAAACAGAGGCATCTGTGAGAGCCGGGGTAAGCTCAATTCGTGATTTGGAAACCTATAGTGCAACTGTGGAGCCATACAAATTAGCACAGTACTCGAAGCAATCCAATATGATATTTTGTATCCATACCTAGACAAACGCATCCTTGACTTGTAGCAAATGAACCCTATTTCATGCAACTCATATGATTACGATTCACCTCAAGTCCACCCTGACAAACATTATGCTCCCTTTGGTCTGGTGTCTAACTCCCGCTCTCCGCCTGTCCCCACTTATTTGGCTCTATTCTCCACATGTGACACAATGCAGTCTGCAGCACAAGGCAAACTGGAGGCTATTGAGGCACAGATCGTACGACTTCGAGCCACCAATGAGGACTCACAAAAGCGCATCTCGGAACTGAATCAACAGAACGCGCAAATGGTCGCGGAAATGGCAGAGCACTCCCGAGTGATAGAAAAATTGAACTCCCAGTTGGCGAATACCCAACGGGCCCAAGCGCAGGCCGAATCGATGGTGGACGACCAGAAACGTTTGTTGGAGGAAGAAGTGAAGGTGAGTTAGTTAGGGATTGAATGATTGGATGATGGGTGAGTGAAATGGAAATCAAAAAAATGAGCAGTAAACAAAATAGTGGGGGGAGGGTCGCCATGGAAGAGGGTTTTAGATGGAATTAAAGGTTTCTGTGTGCCTTTGATTACATAAACCACACTAAGTGATTGAATGAATCTCCTTTAGAACTTATTTTGGAATAGAGTAAATTGATGCACGGAACCTATTTATCGAAACTAAAAGTAGTCAAACTGAGGGTTTACAGGGGAATGAATGAAACCGACAGTATGGCCATTGTGACGGAATTCGAACAAAGAAAGCATCTAATAACTTTTTTTATTACACACGTAAGTGTGAACAACAGACGGGGCGAACCCCATAGTCAGGAGGACCTGCTGTTCCGTGGTGGAAACCGGCGAACCACATTAGGCCCCGATAGGTTAGGCGTGGTATTGAACCGGATGACAGTACAGCTGCCTAGCACCAAAGTCGGATGGCAGTGGCGGGGCTCGAATCTCAGAATATAGGGTCCAAAGCACGCCGATGATAGCGACTAAATCACTGCACCAACACCACCCATCACCTTGCTTATATTGTTTCGTTTCTCTTGAGCTTAAAACTTGAAAATGATTTTCCCAGATTCGTAACTATCTCGAGACAAGAAACATCTCCAAGAGCACGTTCGAGATATTCTTTTGGCCACTGGGAGGGGAGGTGAAGTATGCATCGTAACGATACTGGTTAAACTGTAAAACGATCTCGTTTTTAGTACCTGCAATTAGAAAGGGCATTTCAATGGAATAAGGAAAATGTATGGCTTAAATTATCTGAACCAGTGGAACAATATCTGTTCGCTGACAGCTTCACAAGTCAGAGTAACGGGAATCATACAAGATTCGAAGGAAGGATATCTTGAAAAGATTCTTTACTACTCCCTGTTCTCATTAATCTTTACTGGATATATTCACATCAATTTATTGTGGCATCACGCCACAATTCAGCAAGAAAGCCGACACATTTCAAAAGATCGGAAATTCGCGAGATTACTTGCGAGTTTATTGTGATCAAACGTCAACAAACTTGAGTTTCGCATTTATTCTCGAATGTAATCGTTTTTTTTCGGATCCCACTCACGTATCCAAGATTTCACTTTTTGTGTGAACGTGAAATCGTGTCAGTGTGAACACAAGAGGCAACATTTCTCCCAAAGTGGCATAGTTCGGAGGTTGGGCAAGATGATCCTACGTTTCTCTCCCCCCCCTCCAAAATAAAAAAGAATGGGAACCGGAAAAGTGCAATGTTGACAGTCACGCGTTCCTTATCGGAGAAGTCTAACTCGGCAAAGGACTGCGAATACAGCATTTGAGCGCTCGGGGCTTAAAATGACCATAAAAACGCCATACCTCGACAATATTTCTGCTTTTATTACAGTATTGTTTTAGCCAAGAACAAAACACGTTTATGAAAGGAAAAACAATGTGAGTATCGTCAAGTTGAACAAGTTGAAAATGGACTTGTATGAGCATCAGGAGATTCACCATGCAGAAGCAATGGGTTACACATACACCAATGAAAATTAATAAAACCAAACATCATGCCACAGTTGTTTCATCTGTTAGGACCAGTCGAATATCCATTGGAACCGGATTGGAATTCAAGCGTGTGTGAGTCCCACACGCATTATTGCTAGGCTAGCTGAGTTGGCTCCAGTGGTAGGTCACGTTCGTGTTCAATGATTATCCGGTACTGATCTGTTTTTTTCATGGGGGTTCATGGGAAACGGTCTTGTGTACAGAGGTAGGCCTCTCGATTCACAGTGGTGGCTCATTTCGACTGATATCAATGGCAAGGTAGAACAGGTGAGCATTGTGCTTGATTCAGTGGGCATAGTTCGTTGATCAATGCTCGGTTAGGGGTAACAGCAAATTAACAATGAGTATCATGGTCGAAGACAAA